AACTTTTACAATGGACATACATGCACCAGATTATAACAAAACTCTTTTTTTTGTTTTAGTTTGATTTTTTTAGGACCTACTTTTTTATCGAAAAAAAAAACAAATATACCATTATTCGTGATTTTTCGTCCTATTTCCATAGAAATCCATATTGATATATAAAAATGAACTTTTTTTTTTCAAAGAACCCACTTCATTTTCTTTGTTTGTTAAAAAGTTAAGGTCTATGTTTTTGTAGAAAAAAATTAATAAATATATCAAAATTCATATTTTTTTGGTACTTTTTAAATGTTGATCAATATTGATGTTAAAAAAAATGCGAAATTTCAGTTCAACTTCATATTGTGAACGTATTCAGATTCATATTGTGAATATATTCAGATTCATATTGTGAACTTGCTCAGATTCACAATGTGAATAAATCAATTTGTTCCTTAGTTTCTTGTTAATTATGATTCTCTATTGAACTTCACTATATATTGATCTTAAGTGGATAAAAAAGAAATAACATAAGCAATCTTTTTGAAACCCAAAGCTCTTTGACATATAGTCTAAAAACACTTTATTGAGATAAAATACAAATAACCCATTCGGTACGTGTCATTTGAAACATAAAGATACATTTAGATATTATCACACACTTGATCATGCATGACCATAGAAACTACAACGATACTATCACCTATTACATAACATGGAAGTTGATATATTTATTATCTTTATCATAACTTCATCATTCTATATATTATAATTCCAGCAACAAACTACCCTCTTCTACTGTCTAAGAAACGACCATGGCCCTGTTCCTGTTGCAATCCTGCAAACATTTAATAAAGCAAACCATCAATAAATTTAGTTAGTTTTAGGGGCTACATCTAGAAAAAGAGGCATCATTGTTCTTAATATATATGTTCTAGCCAAGAGCTTGATTTATTTCCATGATGGACTTTGATGTTAAATAAAAAACATGTAGGATGAAATACATAATTCGAAATGTATATAGAATGTTATATACCTCCATGTGCCTGCAATTGCACGTAAGGCCATGAAAATTGCTAGCGCGGACCATATTCCAATAAAACCAGCAACTATGTATAGGGCCATCAAAGACCCGATACTCCCGATAGACACGAAGATCTAATAAGAAAATGAATAGAAGTTGATATATATAAGCTAATGTAATATATTGATATTTATTTATTGTTCAAGAAGGGAAAACGCCAACCATGGAGTATGCAGAATAAGCATAATCAGATGCCCCAAAATTAACTCCATCAATCACGAATGCTATTGAATTGATAGGTTGTGTGCCAGCAACAAACTAATGATGAAATTTAGACAAAATGTTGACAATCATCATATATAAAACAAGAAGAGAATCAAAAGGATTGCAAGTTAATTAGATAGTTAATGGTGTATATATATACCAATACACCTATGCTTATGATGTGCTTAACATTTATGTCTTTTGTGAACACACCAGAACCAAATTGTAAACCAAGTCCGACAAGAAGACCAACTCCAAGACCCATAACCACTCCCATCTGCATAGATAACAATAACAATGTATATCCAAATCACATGAGATGACAGTTTTACTTAGAGCATCCATAATTGTTAGTTCATGAGAATTGAATGAGATGATTTATATATTTGTTATTAAATGGATTAAACTCTAACATAGTGAAATATTATATTCACATTAAATGAATTGGAGTTCAATTTCAATGGGAGAAAAAAGAATGTTTTTACTTTTAAATGATAAAATTTCAAATTTGATCTATATGATTATCAAAAATTAAGACGTTGGTCAAAAATGTTTTGGAGTTGCACCAGTAATCCAAAAAATGAATTCTATTGTATGTTTGGTAATTTTTTACTGAACTTTATAAAATTTAATTCATTGTAGAAAAAATTTTAATAGAGTTCTATTGATAATTTTCTACTGAGTTCAATCGTATTGTGGATGTCTTAAAATTGTTTCCAAAAGAGTAACAAGACAATAATAGTAGGCTAAAACTAAAGATAGAAGTGAGTGTAAATTAAGAGAGAGAAAATTAATAATCAAGTTTGATAATATTTTTCTGAAAAGCATTCAGATAAAAGGAGAAATATATAAAAGAAAAAGGCTACGACCAACACTCTATTATACCCGTCACTCAATCTTCAATTACCAAAGAGTTGATCTTCAAAGCAATTAATAATGGTGCACAAAATACTTGTAACTATAAATGTGGAGTGTACCTGCAATACTCGAGATGCAGTTGCTGTTGCTTTCTCATTGTCCTTTTCAGCAAATGATGATGCAATTATGGCCTATATAAAGAGGGAATCAGTAGATGGCTTATAAGTTATAACAGTACTCATCATATCGTTGGTGTCAAAAAAAGAGGGATGAGAGTGTTTCAAGAACACAAACGTACACATAAAAAAAAGCATTTACCTGTCCAGCAACAGCCAAACCATCAGAAAGAAGTGAAGATGTCAACCAGACCTGCAAGCAAATTTGAAACGCAGCCATAGGTGTTGCACCCAACCTCGCAGCAAGCGATGCTGCAAGTGTTACAGGGATAGTTGCCGCTATAACCTTAAATAACAATAACGAACCTGAAGAAAACACACAAAATAAAGAATATCTGTAATTAAAAAACAAGCGTCGATAATGGATTGGAATTGAATTAAGTTGCATGACACTTATAAACCTTGCATACCATTTTTAAGAAACCGATTGAACTGTAAAGCTTTAGTGCTTAGAGGTAGTAGGTTAACTTGATTCATCAATTTGACAAGCAAAATTAACATGATCAAGTATCTGTGAAACAAATGGATGGTGTTTAGGCGCAAGAAAGAAACTACGATATATAACTCATCATGAGCGAAAAATGATATTAATGCAAAAATATGAATGAAAAAGAATTACGTACTGGGAAAGAACATGTGCTATGGCTGCCCCAGCAACGCCTAAGTTGCAGGCAAACATAAAAATTGGATCCAAGATTATGTTCGCTACATCACCTATAACTGTATTTGAACAAATGGAAATATATAAGCAACATAAATTAAGTTGTTAGGTGCTAGCTCATGTATATTTGAAAAATTAAGATGATGTTATAAGTGATATATACCAGTGGCATATAAAGGAGTTTTAGTATCCTTCAAACCACGAAAGACACCTTGCATTGCCAAAGAGAGAAGAACAGCTGGAGCTCCAAGCGATCGTAGAGTCAAATACTTCAGTGCAGGTTTTAACATCGGAGAACCCTATTCAATATATATTTATCGAACACATGATTTAGATCATAAATATCACAATACATAAGTGTATATATATCCATAATGTAGCTGCTTACAGATTTCACACCCATCAAACCTAAGAGCGGTTTTGATAGAAATACAAGTAGTAGGGTTACAAGAACACCAAGCACTAGACCAAACAATAGTGCTGTTGATGCCGAGGGGATCTTGCGCTTTAATTTTTTGAGCTTTGGTGCATCTGGGGTGCACTCCATAATTGTCATTTTAGAACCTGATAAATTATAACATTTATAACAGAAATATATTAATACACATTAGATATAACAGATATATAGAGCTTCGCTGTATGTGAAATATAATAAAACAAGGGTCCATAATATATAGTTTATTACACCATATGCATGCATACGTATACGTACCATCTTCTGGCGCATCAGATGCTTTTTTCTCACTATTTTCTTTAGAACCATTTTCCATATTCTGAAGTTTTACATCATCTATTGTCCTTTCTTCTGTCGCGTTCTTTTGGTTCTCAAGTTCAATTGCTTTAATGTTCATTTTTTCTATAGTCTCTTCCTCAGCGACAAATGAAGTTGTAATACTAACAAGTGGGAATATCGCTACTTTTGAAACTTGATTGAAAAGAGCGATAGATACTCCAACTGCAGCAATTTCTACTGGACCTGTATAGAACCATATAAGTGGAATTATCGTTCTAGATCTTGATGTTTTTGCATGGACAGATGAAAAGAATAAGTTGAACTTCGAAAAATATATATTATTCATCAATGTAAGACGATGTTAGTTCGATTGGATGATGTAATTACAAGGCATATATACCTATACGACCAATGAACATGGTATCGATCAATGAAGCAATAGGATCAGCAGCTAATGCCATGGCTGCTGGAAGAGCAATGGAAAGTATTTCTCGACCAAGTGTGTCTAACTTGAGGACAATCCTACAGAATATAAAAATTATATATATATATATATATATATATATATGTATATATATATATATATGTATATATATATATATATATATATATATATTATATATATATATATATATATAATATAATATATATATATATATATATATCACAACGTAACAGTTTCCAAGTGGTACGATGAAGAAAACTACCAAGCATCTTTGAACAAAACAAGGACCGGAAAGTTCCACTTTGCCTGAGTAAAAGTTGCAACACCTTCTTCAGCCATGGTTATATATAATGCAACAACTGCAAGATATACGGAAATATTTTATTGTTAATAACTAAAATATAGTACTCTTTTATATATATATATATATATATATATATATATATATATATATATATATATATATATATATATATATATATATATAATAAATACAAAATGGTGTCTACTAACGATTGTGGTTATTTGTATGCGTTAGGATGATGGTATCATATCTTGAAAGATATTTGGCAAATAGAGAGAATTGGTAATATCACATAACAAAAATACAAAAAATTATATAAAATTAGGATGAAATTAAAAATTAAATTCGAGTTTATATCATGTTCGTGTCAAATACAAAAAAAAAAAAAAATGTTGCTTTATATCGTGTTCAAAATTTAACACAAAATTAACACAATTTAACATTTTGTTTTTGGTGTTTGTAGTATTTATGACATTAAAAGCTTTTTTATTATGATTTTTTTATTAATTACAAATATTCAAATATTATATGGCCATCGAAAATTATTAAATAAACTCTTTATTAAGATTTTTATTTATTGGAACTATAAGTCCTGTTAAAATATTAAAAAAAATAATATTAAAAAAAATAATAATAAATGCTAAGAAATTGTTGATTAAAAATCATTTTAAAAGGTTATATTTGAAGAAGATCAGCATTTTCAAAGTTTTTCATTTTGAAAAACTTTTGGAAAAGCTTATAGACGGTCTAAAATAAACATAAATAAACATTTTTATATACAGCAAACTACCACGATTATAACTATAGCTAGCATTGTAATTAACTACTACTTGGCTTCAATAGCTTGGCCCGATGAGAAGACCATAGTTTAAAAATATTTGGAGATTCGAGAGGTAATGCGATATGATCAGCATATGACGCGTTACCACGACCAGGTTAGCTCGAAAGATACACACCTTACCAAGACATGCAAAAGATTAAAAAAAAAACACTAAAGATAAAGAAAAGGATAAATAAAAGAATGCACCACTTTTGTTTTTTTTTTTTCAAAAAACCTACCAAAAAGAGCTCTCCCCTCTTTAATGTTAATAAGCAATTGATCTTCTTTACTTAGGTATGAAGACTCTCAATTTGCATTGAGCTTTAAGGTAGAAGAAGCTTCCTTATATACTATTTTCTTTTTTAATTTTTTATCAAGAGACCTATAGTATTTTTCTAACTGGTTGTCCCATATAGTTATAAAATAATTATTGGAAAGTATCCCAAAATGTGGGAATTAGATATTTATCTTGTCATTGTCCATGGATTCGAAGAAAATGATACGTCCAAAAAGAATATTTATTTATTAATGAATTTTACGTATGTATATTATTCTAATAAAAGAGCCTATTTATTATTACGTGATATTTTTTCAACCCCTTCTCAATCAAGAAATTTTTAAAATGAAGTACCGAATATACACTTTAAGCCTTTAACAAATAAAATTATTACATCCTAATTTATATGGATTATTTCTAGGAATAGATAATAGATATTATATATAGTTTATTAGACAAAAATCAACGATTAGTTCAAATGCAAATCTATTTGTTCTTTTATTAACAAATGATGAAAATAAAATTGGCCAAGAGTCCCAAATGTATGTGTTCTGAGAAGGCGGTGACGAAGAGTCCCAAATACTTAGAGGAAGTTAAGAAGAACTTGGCCAGTCAGAATGACACCTCATGTATATACGTAATTGAATTACATGTATTCCGTTCTAACTCTTGGGTATTCGATACTTGTTACATCCAATTTTAGGTATTATTCTTTTGGAGGTTATTTATCTTAAGTCTTAAATTTTTGGTTTTTGACTGCCCATAACGTGGTAATGGATATCCATTACGGCGTGACAATTTTGTTTAAATGATGGCGTGATCAGGTGTTAGGTGCAGTAGGGTGGAAGCTAGGCTCAAACCCTAGATACCAGGCCTTATGCCCTATTTACAACATTAGGGCTATGGTTTCATCTCATTCTCAGCCTCCACACTCTAGAGAGAAACCATATTTGTGTGTGTGTTCTGGGTGCCTTAGTGTGTTTTCTTGGTGTTTCAAGGTCTTGATTAATGTTTGAAGAAGAAGAGGTGTTCATTCTTTATTGTTTGAGTTTGTTGTTGTTGAGAGCTTATCTTCTAAGCATTTTCAGGCTTTTGAAAGGTATAAAGTTATTAACTTTCTCCTTATTTGGTTGTTGAACTTATATAATTATCCTTTTTTTTTTGTCTTTGGAGGAAGATTCGTGGAGTTTTGAGCAACTCTAAGATCTTGGTTTGAATTAGTGATTGTTTCTGGACCTTATGGTCCCATAAAGTCGAGTGCTTCCACTCAACTCAAGCCACACAAAGGTTTTAGGTTATTTTGGTCCCTTTTGATGTTAGGGTTCAAGACCTAAGTCATTAGAGGTTAAAGGATGGATAAAGATGGAAACTTTATCAATGTATGGCTTGAGTTAATCTAGATTTGAGCTTTGGAGCTCTGGATTTAAGGGTTAAGAGCTTAATAAATCAAGTTGCTTTTGATGTAAGTCGCAACATCGTAAAGAAGTGACCATGATGCAGCGGTCGAGGAGGCATCACGACTATTTTATGCTGACTAAAACACGACACAGTGGACCGTTGACAGTTGACCATTGAATTTTGACTAGTTTGACCTTTAGTCAAACTTAAGAGTATGTGTAGTAGACTGAGGTTTGACCTTTGTTTGATTTAGGTAGCATGCGTAGCTGATTCTATGTGACTATGAGGATTGTCATTTCAGCTCTCTAATTCAGGTGATTTTTCTCACTATATTGTAGGACACATATTGTCAAGTTATGCTTGTTATCTTCGTGAATCTTGTTTGTATGCTAGTATATGTTTGTTAGGTTGGGCCTGCCTATATGCTTGTCAGGTTAGGCCTATTATTGTATGTGTGTGGTATCTTGTGGAATTCACTAAGCTTTGTGCTTACACTTTTAAGTTTAAATGTTCCAAGTACTTTTTGTAGCAAAGGAAAGACCCCAACATGATTGCATTGCATCTGTTTTCGTGTTTTGAGATGCTCCACACTTTTGATTTCATGACTTTGATTTAATGATATTTGAAACAATGGTTATCTTACTCTTTTGAGAATGAAGTATGGTTACTTTTACGTAAAATGAAAATTTTACTCTAGAAATTTAGGATGTTACAAGTTGATATCAGAGCCTTGGTTTGATGGGCTAGCACTTGGTGTGTCTTTTCACACCCCAAAACTGAGAACAGCGGAAACATTCTGGGGCGGAGGATATCATGTATAGTATTACAACACAGTATAATAGTAAACAAGTAAACAACATCGTCCATTGCATTAAATATATAATTTTAATACAAGTGTGTTATGTAGTATCTAAGACACCAAAATATGAATCAAAATAAAGGATGAGTCTTGTATGCTCTCCATCTTCTCAAAAGTTGGCATCGGTACCTGTCTACTGATGACCTGAGAATACAAGTTATTTTGAAAGAGTTTATCAGCATTAAAGCTGGTGACTTCATAAGTATTTAGTGTCTATGATTGTATCAAAATGTTTGAAACAGTGTTTTGAAGTATGAGTTTGTAAACATTTGTAGTAAAAGTATGTGAATGTCTGTAAGTATTTGTAAAAGTTTGTAACTCCTAGAAAATCCTATATTTTCTACTAAAAGTAGCCTTCTACCAAGGCACAACTGTTTTGTACGTTTGTTTCTTGTAAAAGTGTATAATTTTCCCAAGCGTAACTATCATTATCAAAATATAGTTCGTACATTAATGTTTAAGTGAAATAATCACCAAATATTCTCATTTCATTGGTTCTGATTCTGATTGCAATTCCATCCAATACGAATTCGATAATGTTCACAACAAACCTGTTCGACCAAATTTTGTTTTTGTTTTTGTTGCTGACCATCGACCCCATTTTCTTTCAATCGTTTCCAGATCAAGAAGATTTATCACAACCATAACAACTAGGATTTCGATTATTAGACTCGAACAAGACTTGATTTTGATTATTGAAAAAAAACAATTTTGTGATTTAAGAAATTGATTCAATAAACAGAAGCTGTGATAAGAATGTGAGAACGAGAAACAGAAATAATCGTTAAAACTTTTGCCCTCCAAGTCAATAAAAAAATTGTGCACGAGACTTATCACGATAATCAAAAGCATTTAAGATCATGACTCAATTTGAACCAGATGTACAGTAATGAATTGGATTGATGGGCCAAAAGGAACGAAATTTATCCACGAAGCTAACAATTGAATTTGAATGACCATACAATGAAGGAACGAATTAATGGCAATGAAACAGATCCATCGACAATACTTTGAATTTGGATAAAACTAAGGATTAGATCCAATCAGAAAACATAGAAAAACGAATTTGATAGAAATTATACCAGATGAACAGTAATAGAATACATCAGCCTCCATGAACAGTTGCTTGAACAAGAATCTTGATTCCAAAACGCCAAAACACCAATAATCTTCAATAACTTGTGTATAAAATCATCAAATCAAGAATTGATACTTCAAAAATCAATAGATCTTCAAAGACCTGCTCTGATACCACTTGTTGGGATTAAAACCCTAATTGAGATTTGATGAATAAGATGCGGAAAATAAGAACAAACACAAATATGAAGATTATGTCGAATGATCACTCGATTTATTCATAACAAGAGGAATAAATTACACTTTTAGCATAGACTAAAGAATCTAACACTACATAAGAAACCTCACGTGGCGGCTACATTTTGCCTCACTCTTAACCTTAATTGTGAATAATACATGACTATTTATAAGGAAAAGACAAGTCTTGGGCTTTTAACCTACACTTCATTAAGGGGCCCATTGCCATCATCCATGGAGTGCTTTGGAACCCTACAGTTGTATTATAGTAACTACTGTTGTACTAACTACCTTAAACCGAATTTATATCAAGGTATTATGTGATTAATTGCACCATACTATCGACTATGAACACGACAATGTAAGT